GACTCAAGGAATCAAATATATATATATATTGGGTTATGACTTCTGATTATTGTAAAACGGGCATTGTTTTGTATCATTAGTCTGAAACGAGAACCAATTTGTTAAGAAAAGGTATGTTTAAAGTGTATATTCTTTTTTATTTTTTTAAAACAAAGTTGTAAAGTGTATATTCAAAACTTATATAATGTTTTAAAATAAAATTCCCCATACTTATGTCTAGCTCTAAATTATGTAACTATACTTATGTTTGAAGACATGTTTAATATTTGAATAATAGTAATTTTGTTTGGAAAATAAAATGTAAATTTTTTTTTTAAATTAGTTAGTTAAAGAAAATTGATTTAAACTAGTCTCAATATGTCTTATAAGCTCTTTAAATAATTTAAAAAAAAAGTTTGTTAAACAAAACTGATAGTTTATAAGTTCTTATAACATGTCTTCAACATTATAAATCTTTTGTTAAGTCATTGTAAACTAGTCTCAATATGTCTTCAACACTTAAAAAACTTATAAACTATCAAAGCAGACTAGATGAAGACAACTAAAATCTTTTGTTAGAACCTTCAAAGAAGAAGAATCACTCAAGTTTAGATAATATATCAACAAATTAGTGCTAATCTGAATAACTTTCTCATAATAAAATTAGAATAATCTTTAAATCGATAATTGTCTAATTAAAGCAATAGCCCAAAATATATCTGCACAAATAAGAAGATAAACAAACTAGAATATTTTATTGGAACCTTCAAAGAAGAAGAGTCACTCAAGATTATAGCCCACAATTGCCGAATCAAGGCAATAGCCCAGCATATATCTGCACAAACATAAGGTTAAACAAACCGACAAGTGTCTAATTAAGGCAATGGCCCAGCAGATATCTGCACAAACAAGATGATAAACAAAATGAAACATAATGATGTAGTTCAAAGTTAATACGAATTTTGCAAAATGTTACTAATTTTAAAAAACGTGAATTAGATGATTGGCAAGGAAATTTCATAAGGATTCAAATCAATTATTTTTAACGAACCATTAAAAAATAATGTAAATTCCAACTATGGGAATATGAGTCTTATGACTTTTGATTAGTGTAAATCATGCATTGATTTTTTCATTTATTAATTGGTATGTGATTGTTTCTAAAATGATCAACCAAATGGTTAAAAAATATGTTTTAGTTAGCTAGACAAGAGATATATAGGTGTAGTAAAAAAATGATAATGATAAAATACGAGAAAAAATCTATGAATTTACAAAAGTTTCTAAAGGCAATATACATTTGTATTACAAATGAAGTTAAATACACAAATAAATAACACCCTATTTGTGTGTCTACTTTCTTCTTGCTATTTAATTAAAAAAGATACGGGTATAGAATTGCAATTGTTTTTACTCTTCTCTAGTCTATAATCTTGTATTATTTACGGGAATAGTTTTTATACTTAAGCTCAATTAGAGTGGGGAAATTAGGCTAAATAACAACCAAAACAATTATAATTCAAACCATAATTATTTGCCCTAATTCTAGTGGATTCCATTAAGTCACATAAGCTCATTTTAGTTAGTTAATGAATTATTATTTTTTTGGTTATTTTTGCAAATGAACTTTACTAACTAGGTAACTCGCCCGCGTACACGCGGATAACTTATTTATAATTTTGTTTTTAATTTTATATTTTGAAATGTGAAAATATATGTTTGTTTTAATTTTTATTATTGACATTGTTTTTGATATTTTTGTTGTTACATTGAGAATATTAAGATTTTGATAAGCATCTATTAAGATTTCGACAGACGTCTTAGTGAGGCATGTTATTACTAATTGAGAATAACTGGGAAGAAAAATGCTTTTTCTACTTTCCTCCCTTAGAAAGAGAAAAAGAGATATATTTCCTCTTGTTTTAGGGTGAACAAAAATAATTCCTCTCATCTTTTGTTTCTTTCTTTAACTATTTGTTTTCTTTAACTATAGTAATCATATGATATTTTCTTGTTTTTCAAATTTGTTTTAAAATGTCTTTAGATATGGAACCGAATAAAAAAAAGGACTCTAATTGAGATTGAACATTGATTGTAGCCTAGCAATAATAATAAGAAATAACTACAAAAATACATCGGCTATAAGGAACAATTTGTTTGTTTTGTTAATTATGATGGAATCTACTAAACCATATGAAGTAATGAACCAGTGCCCGGTTTTAGTGATGGAATAAACCGGTGAGATTATTAAGCCACTTTGACTTTGTTTGGCCCGAGAACACTAGGATTCATAAATCGATGATCTTATGATCAGCTAATTGGTAGATCCTACCTGTTTCAACGGGACATTAACTGCTAAACCAATAAACACGAACCGGTAGTATATTATATAGTTGCACATCACTATAGTTAAAAGAGACATTAAGTGAAAATTTCATGTGTTAAATCATGAGCATCACTCAACAGAAATTTTAACAGACACATCATCTAAATTAATCAAATCAAAACATTCTAATTAATTATATATGACATAAAATATCTACATATTTACGTTAAGTTTTTAACATAATCTAACAAATACATATATTACTACTATAAATCTAACTAAAATATTATTAAATTTAGCTAAAATATAATATTTTAATATTTAAATATTATATAACATAATGGTTAACGATAAATCATTTACCGATATTAATTACTTCATAAAAATTATATTTATGTCTACTTGGATACCATATGTGATTGATCATACAATTATTTCATTTTATATAGTTTAATTGTATTCATATTACTGTAATTAAAGTTACGATTTTGTTATAAACGTACAAATTTACAAATCAAACATTAATGGTTGAATTTCAAAAATCATCATTTTTACTTTTATTATTTCTTTGACTTTTTAATTATGAAAATTTTACATACTAACGCGATATTTTTTTGGTTTGGTGAGCTCAAATAAATTTGTGAGAACATATACTGTCAAAC